TCTGATCATATCTGGGTTGGTTTAAAGGAGAACTTTGGTGAAACCAGTGTTTTCTCACCTTGGTGTTTCTTGTAGTTATAGGTTTTTCCTTCAAAAAGTTCAAAGAAGTTCGGGGAACTTTTCAGATCTTCTTAAGTTCACAAGTTTCTGGGAATTGAGAAACTGTTTTTTTCCTCTTGAGGAGGAATAAACATGTGTGAAAAAAGGTGTTTGCCATTGTGAATGATTGATAAGGGATCTTCAGGGTATAATGCGGTTGCAACCGTAAAAACAGCTGGGTGGGGCCGTACATGGTCGTGGGTCATTTCACCTCGGTACCACGATATCAACATGCTGTGACTACTTGGTAACCACCCGGTCATAAGCCAGTTATGGGATCATCTTTGGTCTTAGGTGATGATCATGAAAGAATTCACCAGGCTTAATTATTCACTGCATCTTTATATAATTGTGTATATATATATATCCATAACATTATATAACTCTTATATTAAATAATATATATATATAAATACAAATGACCCAATGATATATAAATCCGCTTCATGTATTATAACAACCAGGCTTATGAACCAGTTACGATCCCTGGGATGATCCCCGGCATAGCACTGTCCCAGGCCTCAGCATGCCTTGGGCGCGCAGGTCTAGGCGCGCTGCACCCAGCAAAATCCAGGCGCATGAGGTGCGCAACATCCGCCTAGGCGCATAGGTTGTTGCTGGGAGTCCAGAAACATCTCATATGGATGTTTATTTCGAATATGTTTTTTTCCCTCACTTATGTGCATAAAGAACAAGCAAGTGGATTTGGCTATGCAAACTTTATTGAATTTCATCATGTTCGATCCAAACCTCAGCAATTGAGGAAGAGACGCAACAATTAACAAGGATGTTCGTGAATACACAATATGTGCATACACCGCTATCCTCAACATCTGTCAACGTGACTCATCCTGAAAAACGAGCTTACAAGCCTCATCAGAAATGAGAGATAGTTGGCGGGATGTTCACCAAGGTACTCGTATGAAATGACACCCTCCGAATCACCCAAACGAACCCCAAAAATACATGTGAGATATCCACTCAAACAAAGAAACAAGATTTTGGATGAAAAAACATCACCCTCCCCCCAAAAAAAAAACACCAGGCATACTGAACCATTCCCCAAAACCTCCCCAGACCTCCCCAGAACCGGCCTTGAGGTGCACTGGAGTTGCCGGGTCACCCATAAGACACCCAGCAGGCTATCAGCATCCTAGCAATGACAGGTGGAACTGCTGATGGAAACAAGGGAATTCATGAGAATGATGGGATGAAATATGTGAAGTTAAGATAGAGAATGATACACACAGGGATTTCACTTCACTAACAATAATATCAAAAGAATACAAATGGATACAGAAATCCCATTCCTCTAATATCAAACGCCCCGAAAATGATTCCAAATATGTGTCAATCCCTGTCTAAACCATCGTTTCTAGGGGGTGTTGAATGGGATTACATTCGGAAACTGATCTGTACTGAATTTTGTCTAGCGATTGAGCCATTCCAGATATGCCCAGGCCTCCTCAAAAGTGCCTTCAGCTGTCTTCAATCCTCGGGACAAATCATCCGCGACCATCCACCGAATGGGGGTTTGGAAGACCACATTTCTTTCAAACGTCGTGTTTCTAAGGGAGTGGGGGGGTATATGTCCAACATAGTCCTGGTTGTTTTGCCCTCTCCAACCTGGCAATGGAAAATCACTCCATGATGACCATGTAGGTGGGCGAGTGACTAATCTGCTAGCCACTCTGCATTGATCATCCAAGTACGAGTACAACCAATGCCCATCCTTTTCTGTTAAGCTATTTGCCAACCTTATTACCGTAGAATTCCCATGTTTGCCTTTGTTTTATGAAAGTCTACCTCCTTTACCTGCCAGGCCTGCCAGGTGAGGGTCTCTAGATTCAAAGGTGCAACTGCTTCCTCCGCCTCCTCCCTGACGAGCTCTGCATGCCGCTGGGCACGCCTGGACCCGAACACATGCCTGATAAAATGTCAGAATATATGTCAGATAGAATGCCAAATAAAATGTCAAAATGATATATATCAGGGTGGGGATCACTCGAAGTAAAGTAATTCTTTTTCACATCTACAATCTACACTATATCGATACATTTTTTCCAATGCAATCATCATGGATTCCTGGATGTAAATCATTCTAAGCCAACCGGCCAAGCTTCGCTCACAGCACCACTCTTGAATCCTCTGCAGGATCTCCAGTGATCGGCCTTTGGCTGCTGCTGTAGCCGCAACCTCCAGGGATGTCGCAGCGCCAAATGACACAGCGACGTATGGCTGCATTGGAATGTTCCAAGAACCAGCATTGAAGCTGTCAGCTGTGTCTTGAATTTCTCTGGTTGGTGGTTTTAACATGTTTTAACAATCTTGAAAAATATTTTTGTCAATGGGAAGGATGACATCCCTTTTCTATGAAATGGAACATAACAGCCATGTTTGAAACCACCAAGCAGTTCTGAATTGACCCATTTGTCGTCGATATGGGATGACCATGGATGACCGCCAGGAAGCATTGAGTTGTTGAAGTGACATAAGAGGCATCAAACTCCTCGGCAAGAAGGGTTTCAGAAACCACACAGCCAGGTTCCCGAAAAATAAAACACGTTGTACCTGAAGTCCTTGGACGGGGTTCTTTTCAACAGTATATGTGTATTATATAATATATAGATAGATAGATAGATAGATAGATAGATAGATAGATAGATAGATAAAGATATATATATATATATGTGCGTGTATCCGTATGTATTATATATTATATTCATACATATTCATACTATATGGTATGCATGTCTCTATCTGCATGTCATTGCTCACAGTAGATATTATATATCTGACCTGTCATCAAACCACAATATCCACTTTCGACCTGTGTTGGTACAGTGTGTCCCTGGTGAAAATCGCCCTTTGAAGGTACGCGGTATACTTCATTTTCATACAAACCCAAGTCAGTCAGGGTTGTTCCGGACACTCCAGATACAAGGGGCAGAAATTGGTAGATAAAGAGGCAACATTAGTCAGTTTCCCCCTTCTTGTGGCTATCCTTAATCTATAAATATACAGTGGGTTGGAGCAACCCTGCAAATGGTATTGCTTAGTTACCCCATGATATTCTCACTAGATCCCATCAAATCCATGAAATCCATCCATTTTTGCTGCTTAGATTGCCTAATATTAACCATTGTTGGATCCCATTAACCAATTGATTACAGTAAACCACCAAGGAGGTGCAGTTTCCTGACGCGGGATGGCACATGAGCTGGTTAAAATGGAGCTGCCGGGACTCATCAGGTGCTGGTCCACTCTCACCGACACTTCCTTGCACTCGATGCCCAGCAAAGATAGGGAACTGCACGCACGGAGAAGAACCTGAAGAGGAGCTCAAAAACTTCAAACGCTAGATATAGGTTGGTTAAAAAACTAAAGTGACCTAGTTCGTTCAGCTGGCATCTTTTTAGTAGATATATTCATAGTTTGATGTGGTTTGATCGGGTCATAAAACAACACACGTCACTGGGGGGGTCAAGGTGCAAATCCAATGGAGGCCTAAACTGGGGCCCGAAATGTTGGAGACGACCACCTGTAGCTTGTGAAAATGCCTGTTCCCTGTACAGCGATGGCTTGAACCTGTTTTCCAGTCATTCTATGTCATTCCTACCGTGACACACCTATTATAATCTATTATAATCTATTATAATCTATTGTAATCTATTGTAATCTATTGTAATCTATTATATAATCTATTATATACGCCTCGTATTCATCGAGTTCATCGAAAACTGATTCCGGGCATCTGGCGGCGCAGTCGTCTTTTCTCAGATTCTCGACTCTGGCCTTAAAACGCCATAATCACAACAAAATATGTATTGTTATGTGTCCAGAAAGTCCATTTGCCCATCTCCTGAATAACAATCCAAAAACTGATTAATGCTTCCTAAAGCAATAGTAAACCATCCCTGATCATAATTTTATCATCTTTGTCAGTGGTATAAACCCCTCCAAACATATTGGTGGTTTATGGTGGTTTATTGTTGCTTTACTAACATTGGATCACCACATCACCACCATGGGCACACCTCCGTTTCTCGCTCCGCGGAAGGCATGGCACGAAGGGCTTCACGGATGAGCTGAGGGTCCTGGGCTGGTCCCATCCTAGGAGATCTTGGTCTCAAGAACCAGCCACCATTCATGAGTAAATCCATGTAAATCCCATACGAAACCCGGATTTCGAACGGAGATTTGATATATGCAGGGATTGTAAGACATATTGCAGGATTTGGGTCCGGACTATTCCAAACATCTGCCATGGGTCATATCCTTTAATTCTCGACATGGGGCATACCATATTAATAGCGGCATAGCGCAAATAAGAAAGAATATGTCCAAATAATTCTAAATAAAGTACACTATATGTATATATTTATATGCTGTATATATGTCTTGCATTGTCCTGTCTTCTATTGGTAGGGGTGTTTTTTTGGAGATTTCACATTGCCATAATCAGTTTGCAGATGATTTCCTACAGAATCCTATGGTCCTATGGGAAGGGATCAGGCTTCATCCAAGGCTCACAGCAAAAGATCTGGGCTAAGCACCAGAGCTTGTCAACCTGGCGTCGAATCGTTTGGGGATGGGTCAATGACGGTCATGACATGGGTTGCCCTGAAAATCCCTGAACATGTTCTGGTTGAACGTAATACAACACCCATTTTTGCTAGCATCATGGGCGCAAAACTGGAAATAGAACATATGTGATGCTGGTAAAATTGGAACATACCATACGAGGAAAATTGAGGAAATTTGTCCAGCTCCCAGGGCGTTTGCATTTTCTGGAGGATTCGTCTATGCCAATGAAGGCACAAATCCCCCATGGACGGCCACTAATAAACTCCAGAAAGTATGTGTGTCATATGAGAACCCATGATAAACTGTAATGTCCAAATGTGTACAATACACATCTGCAAGGCTGCAAGGAGATATCAGCCAGGTGCTAACCAGTTAACTAACTTCGCCCAAGCGACGGGATCAGACATCTCCTGAGCCAAAGCTTTGGCGATGTCCGGCTTCGCTGCCGCGGCTGCCGCACATGCGGTGTCCATGGTGGCGACAACGGCTGGGACCATCTGGGGAGGGTGGGAAGAAAGATGCCCTGGGTGACATAGGGTGGGTGACATCAATATAACTCAGGAAAATATTGTTTCTATATTTTTCTATATAATGTGGTAAACTGGTAAACCCAAGAATAACCATCCCAAAACTCACCATCAATGTATGCTGTAAATCATACCCTAACAATTGTTGGGGGTGTGTTTGTATTTCATCCAGGCTGATACTCATGATATGGTGTACTACTATTCTTGGGGACACCCTGATTTGGGTCATGAACACTGATCTGTTTAAACATACGTTTGCGAATCCACTTCACCTATCTTGGAGGTTGATGTCTATTCAAATGCGTGCATACCTATACTAGTATACAAGAACTAGATATGTAAAATCACTGTGCTCACTGTCACTTTTTCGGGTCAGGTGTAGACCATGTTGTTTCATCCCCCACGCGCGTTTCATCCCGATCTCGCGCCTGAGCCGCGCGCATCAGCTCCAGGAAGGCCAAAGCTCTTGTCCAATGCCCTATCCGCCTGAGGTCACCGCCGGCTTCCATTGCCACATCGTTGCTTCGTATATATATATATACATATTATATATATATACAGATATGTATTATATATATATACATGCATTATATATATATATATTAGGTGTGTGTGTGTGTACATACATCTGTGTAGATATGATATACAGGTGAAGACAATAATTATATGTAAAGGATGACAAAGGTGTATGTCTATTATATGTGTATGTATGTCATTATATGTGTATGTATGAACCCCACGAGAAAAAAAAGAGTAAAATCCCAATAAAATAGTGAGAACTGGCTTTTCTATCTTTTGGGGATTACTGGAACTATACACACATATAATGTGTGCAAAAATGTGCAAATGTATCCGCCAAACTGAGAAAATATAAGGCTTGTCAACGTCTCAACAGCAATGAGCATGGTTTCAGGATGCCTGCTGCCCACTTCTGCTGAAGAACACAACCAAGAGACTCACAAAGACGAATGGAAGCGCTGTAAGTCACAAAGTCTGCTTTCAAGGAGTGTGCAGGAAACTGTCCTAAGATGGTTGGCGGTGATATGTATGAATGGATGGGTCTCAATATGTGGGGAAAACAACCATAATAACCATTTATGAGGATATAATAGGATACAATGGGGATAGATAGATATATATATAATACATTGGATGTCCAAAGTTTGCCAAACAGATTTCTCAGATGATGCATGATAGACGTCCTGCCGCACTACAGTATGAAACTTGGAATGCGTCCAAAATTGAAGTCCCTGAAATCGACTGAAACAGATCAAAGTCCTTATAACGCCCGGCGTCAAAGCCATTCCATCAGGGCCTAACACAAGTTTCTACTTTTCTACATGAGTCTATATACCCTAAACTCTAAACAAGCTGGGCGGAACATAGTTGGGAAATCCGAAGTTTCTAGATGATCTACATTGATTTGCAGTATCTGAATCAGTGGCATTTCCCACTGCGTTGGATTACCTCTTGGGCTTGGGCAGATTTCGGAAAGCAATGGGGGTAAACACCATCTCCAAGTGTCTGAGAAGATCAAGGCCCTCTTGCCACGCAAGTCCTGACACGGCATGGTGGTACCCTCCCACAGTGCCGTGGTTGGAGACTGGGTGCCTTGTGGACATGAAGAATGGCAAAGGGAAATCGCCAGTTGGTAGATGATTACCTGCTGAAAATGGTGATTGTCCATTTCCAGGTTAGAGTTCTGGAGGTTCTTTCAGCATGAGGGAAGACTACCAAGATCGTCAGCCAAATGTGGAGGAATCCTACCTTTGCAAAAACCGGGCCCACGAAAAGCCAGCATGATGAAACTGCCACCGGAATCTTGCAATCCCACTATATGACCTGATCAGAAGCACGACATGCTGCAGTCGAGAAACCGTAATCTTAATCCAGGATTAATAACCTCCCAGTTTAACAATTACTTTTAGCGTAAATTATAGTTTACTAGTATTTGGGTGGTATATAACTACCCAATCAATAGGCGAGGTTTGTTTGTCCGGCATTGACATTACATGTAACAATTACGATAGATGATATGAACTATGAACATACAAGTATGTACTAAAGTATCTAATTTATAATCATATACAGCACACATATCTAAACAATTTTAATCATATACTGTACATATATGATATATAATTGATCCACCTCCTTCAACGGGCCTTTCTCGCATGCACTGATGGCTGAGTTCAGCTCGATGTTGGAGACAGGGAGTCGGTGGCCCTGTTCCTGGCGACATCTGTATCAATAGATAGACCCTCTGATTATCAAGCCTGACAATTGAAAGTCCAACATGTGTATATATATATATATATATGATGCATGATAAATGCTAGTATATGATATATGAGATATGTATATGATACTGCATATGATTGTATATGATATATGATATATGGAGGTTGATAGCTGGGAATATCATCGAACTAAATGACGGAGTTTCCAGCTTGCCATCTTTGGATTACCAGGGCCTACTTATGTCTGTTTCGACCCAGAATAGCCAAACAGCCAGGAGAGGGTACTCCTCCCTTTCTGGCTCAAATCATGCTTTAGGGTCGATCTTGCTTGGCCTCACGCCCGCGTCCAAGGATAAAAGAATATAGGCTTGGCGGGCAGAACGTCTTTCCGCACCAAAATCATACCAACGACTGTTGGAAACTAGGAAAAATGTCGAGGCCGCTTTGGTACATCATCCGTGACCTACAGTATGGTGAATAAACCGTTCTCAAACCCAGTTACAGTATATATGAACAAAAAAACACATCCTACATCCCACTTATCATAACATATCATAACCCTCATGGAATATAAATCACTGTTTTTGTTGATTCCTCCTCCATTTATAAGCCCAATATCGATTATCCCAACATTAATCCACCTTCAATATGGCGATTGATTAATCACTCATTTATACACCAGTTATGCACCGCAAAAAAAATGCAGAAACACAAATTCCGAACCTAAAAAAGGCTGTAAAGTATACCTTTATGCATTTTTCTCTCAAAGTTCCATACTTGGCACCCAATTTGTATTCCCGGTATATTTGGTTTGTACCCAAATCTTTAAGGCCCCTTTACAAACCAATTAACTTAAGGATTACCCCCGATTACCCGATTACTAAGGTTGTTACTATCATCATCCGATGAGCCCTCTGGATCCCTCTGGTAATTTAACAAAGCCATGAAATATGGCCATGGAATACGTAGAAATCATATCGGATAAATCTTTAACAACAGCTAATAGCTGTTCCATGATTTTCTCCATGATTTTATATGATTTTCAACAACAAATGGCCGAACTTTCCCATGGCGTTCCAGTACCAAAGAGGTTTCCAACCCTGGTTGATCCCTCACCACGCCATTTCCTCCAGCAGATGCACGGCCAATTGCCAGCAGCCGCCCGCTTCGCAGGCGTTGATGGCGGTGCCGAAGCTCACGGTGGAGGGCTGTAAGGAACGCCCTGCAACGGGGCGTTGAGGCATAGCTGAAGCGCAAACGATATGCGTCATGGTAACCACTAAAAAAGGTGATGTACCACTAAACTGTTAGGTTGGGATTTTACTTGAGATGTTTGGCTGCTTTACCAATGATATCAGAATACAATATATCATGTAAATTTAGGAGTCCATATATGTATTGCCGGTCTCTGCTTTGCATCAAACGCGCTGGCATATGATTGCGCTCATCCTAAAACGCTGGCAATACTTCCAGCCACTCACAATCTAAATCCTTATCATCAATCCCAGTCATTTCTTCAACTATATAATGCCCAGCAAATAGAACTTCAAAACCTTTTTCACACTCATTAATCCCTAGATGTTCCATGGATTTTCCATATGTTCCATATTTTGTCCATGGTTTTCACCATGTTTTTCCATGATTTCCCCCTCCCGAAATCAACATCTGACATCGACAGCCTGAGAATTGGTCCATCAGCTGCAAGGCGGACTGCCACACGCTGCCCAGCACACAGCCGTGCATCAGGCTGCTGCAGCTCACGACATCCGCCTGCCGCGAGCGTTGCAGCTCCTGGAGCGACCGATTTTGTGACCGATTGGTAGTGACCGGTGACCTGCATGGCTAATACCGCTGGGGGTTGGAAAAATATGAGCATACTTAACTGGTTGGTGGTTTTAACCATCTTAGAAAAATATGAAAGTCAATGGGAAGGATTATCCCATATATTATGGAACATAAAAGATGTTCCAAACCATCAAGGAGTTAAGTTACTGAAGCATCGAAAAGGGGGATTTAAGCAAACAAACATGGTGGGTTAATAGGATATGATATCCACTATGAATCTATATCATAAGTTTGCCATTCTGCCAATTCTATGGTGGAATGATGGAAGGGGTGATGGCTTAAACAGATGCCCCGGTCAAATGTGGTCCCAAGAAGGTGATACATCTTAGAGCCAATTTGAACCATACCGGTGAAGTTTGACGGTTCAAAGAAAGAACAACGACTAGAATGACCAAACAACCGCAAGAGGGACCCATAGGTAAAGTCTGGCTTTAAAAATGCACCCAAAGCTGGACAGTTTTTCAAACATTGCAACTTTATTTTTGACCCATCCCGGGCCCATCCCACGAGTCGGTTACGGCCCTTGCCGGGCCGGGCACGCCTCCAGAACTTCTGCGGCCTTCAGCCAGGCGCCAGCCACGGCGTAGGAGCTGATGATGGTGTTGTAGATCACCAAATTCGCTTCCAGCTCCTTCGGGAGAAACCAAGCACTGATTCAAGAGAAATTTCGTGAAAAATCTATGACAACTAAAATTTGATCTTAGGAAAACTATACTAGTTACATCTAGTTGCTATATAAACTATGTATTTATACCTCTTGTCTGATGATAGTTATTGGCATCTTTTCAAAGCTTGTTTCATGCCAACTAGTGTGTTCACCATGCCCCACATTGTCACGTCCAGCCAGTTCCAACTGAAAAATCCTCAAGTGAACGCCCAAACATATCCAAAAATGAGGTTTGGGGTCAAACATTGGGCATTCCCGAACCCATTTTTTTGATGCTAGCTCTTAGTTCATCAAATGACCAAAGGGATCTGAGTTCTGGCTAGGGAAGGCCTTTCGACACATGTCGCTGAAGAGGTGCAGAGCCATGGCCCATTGCCCCGATTGCTCGCAGACTGACAAGGCAGCGCCATAAATGATCACATTCAGTTGCACCTTGTAGGCCTGAGATGTTCCTGTGACATGTCATGTGATGACATGTGCATGGCTAGGTCCCCTCACCCCAAAAAAAACATGAATCTAAGGTAATTTGGTCGAATTGAGGAATTGGTGTGTCAAAATTGTCCCAAAACATCATCGGCACCTGGAAAAAGACTTCCTGGATATCCCTGGTGCCTTGTTCGTCAAGTTTGACCAGGCGGAAGAACCATGACTTTGCAGCTGAGATGCATCAGCCTCATCCAGCAAAAGCACTGCGGTTGGCCAGGAGGATCCTCCTTGGCTGTGGGAAAACACATCTCTTCCGGAAAGAGTGGCTTGGCCCTGCGGCTAGGCCTGACCTGATCAACATGAGAGTGTGGCATGTGGGCTCCAGAACTGTTCTGTTGGTTTGCTCATTCTTCTAACCGGACCTCTAACCTTCATGATCCACAGCCACCTTCAGCCCCTGCATGACCATGTTTTTTTACTGGCGGGCATCCCTTGTACCAAGCACCAATCCCAACATCGCGACATTTGACGGTTAAATCCCAACATCTGCGATGGATAACCAGTTAACCCCCAGTTAACCTGGGTCCAAACCCATGAGTTGTTATGGTGAAAGCACCAACTGTTGTGATTAAAAAAACGTCCACCTATCTTTTGAATTATTTTGATAGGTAAATCACCCATAAATTTGTAATTTTTAGTCTGCTTCAATTGGCTGGTTGAACACAATGACTACATCTCTAGCAGTAATGTTGATGGTTAAATCATGTTAAATCCAATAAATTGGCTGGTGGAATCCCATTCTACTCCTAGATCACCGTGATATTCCCATCCTATAAAGTTCCTTAAAATTCCATAGCACCCCTATCTCAATTGGTTCAACTCCCACAAATCCAAGTTTCATCGACAAAACCCCGTTTTCATAGTGGGAAATAATGATGTAAACGGGTTGTTTTGCGTGCTTCTATTGGCTGGTTTAGTGCCATCCAATCTATCTTCATTGGTAACAAAGTCAAAGACCTACCAATTACTTTCACAGGGTGAAATTCGAACTTTTGCTTACCTGTTCCAATGTCATTGTGCGCGATTTCGGCTAACATTTTGAACTTTCACCACTCCCCAAGTGATAGTGCACCATTCGGGCTCAAAAAAATGAACTCTCACCACTTTATACCTCTTCTATCCTATTCCAATTTGATCCTGCACGATTTGGTGAACTTTTCACCAGTTTGCCTCTCTCAATTCTTCAACGCATGACTTTGTCTCGAATTTGAATTTTCAACATTTCACCTCTTCCAATGTGATGGCGCACGATTCTACCGCAAAATTGGAACTTTCTTCACTTCACCTCTTGCAATCTGTTCGTATGGACGAAATTGATTATGGATGGGTTCAACTCCCATAATCCCCATATTCATCGCTTAACCCCCAAAAAAATCTAAAATCCTTAAAATGTAGTTTAAAATAGTTTAAACATGTTAACGCATGTTCGCTGCAACCTGGGCGTTTGCCCGGAGTTGATGTCCCGCCTTCCTGATTTTGATCCCTCATGAAGATAAAGTTGATGTTATTTCCCCAGTCAACATATTGTTCTGTTATGTCACAATCATGAGTCTGGGCGAATGTTAAGGTTGCGGACAACATGTTAAAACATGTTAAAACGATACACCATCCCCATCCATCACCATTTTTCAGGGTGAAAAATCCCACATCGCCGGGCTTCCGCAGCCCAGGATGGCCGCCGACAGCGTGTAGCCATCCACCTCCGCTGCGCTCAGAGACGTCACGGCGCGGTGCCATTGGAGGCCCTGGCTGAAGGCGTGCACCACCGCGGTGGTCACCAAGGCCTCCTGCGGGAGATGCACTGGAATCACCATGAAACAATAGAAATGGCTAGGTTTCACCCTGAAAAATGATGAAACACATGAAATTTAGATGAGATTTATACTGGCTAACTGGCTAAATTATGCTAAATTGGTTTAGTTCACTCATATTGCAAGACTTGGTTGATGGTAGATGCTGGATATATGCGGCTTTTCCAACCAACAATAACCAATACAAACATAAGTGGGCGGGCACCACATTGCGGGGGTAGGTGGGGATATTTGGGGATCAATGATCAGCTGGGAAGATTGGGAATGGCATGTTTACAGTACCTAGTTCTCCAAAGTTAAACAACTTCAGAATGTATATAACATTTATAACATATTTAAAACTATATACACTGTTAGGGCCGCTCGACCGTGTGAAGGTTAGGATGTTACAGGGTCAAATGATGTCAGATCATGATAATTTGACCTTCCAAAAGCTGTGGTTTCCAAAAGCACTGTTTTCCGACTGCTTCACTATGGTTCACATAGAGGTCTCATTGAAGATTCAACCCCAAAAACAGACTGTTTAATTGGATGGTATCAAACAATACGACATTGTGTTTTTCCCTTGAAGGACTTGAAGGCCCCCGCCCCATATTAATCTGGTTGGTGGTCGACCTACCCCTCTGAAAAATATGAAAGTCAATGAGAAGGATTATCCCATATATTATGGAAAATAAAAGCCATGTTCCAACCACCAACCAGACCAACCAGTAATCTTTCGGAACCCCTTAGATTTGATGGACAAGGACTGACTATGCTTTCCTCTGGAAAAATCCTTCGATGTTTGTTTAGCGTTCAACATGTCAACCCCAAACCTTCTTCAGTTTCTATCCATTTCCCATTATTCAGCACAAGATGACATAAGATGTCTTCTTTTTCAATGTTTTTCATGGATAATTAATCCATATCATCCATGTTTCTATCAATTTTCCCAGGACGCCGTCATCCATGACCGGACCCCGGACGCCTCCCGAAGGAAGGCCCTCAGCATGCTGAGGGAGCGGCGCCAGGAACATGTCAAGGTCGAAGCGATGGAACTGAGAGACACCTGGGTGATGCTGGTAGGGCGTCGTGTTGCATATGCATATTAATTTACAATATATGTAATAATATATATATAATATGTAATATATATATATTTATATATATAATTATATATGTATCACAATATACATTAACACATATGTATATAACACATATATCACAATGAAGTCACGGTATGCACATCCATCTACCTCCGATTTTCCAAAAGTGTTGTACGGACAAATGAGCCTACGAGCATGTGGCCTTGGGCATTTTCAAATAGAGATCACACAGTGTTAGCGAAAAGGGAAGCATGGAACCAGCGCCTACAGGCACCCAAAACAGAAAAGTAAAACATCAACCAACTTCAGTTTCCGAGGATATTTAGCCGTCTCCTTCCGTTCATTGACCTTCAGCTCCAGTAATCAGTCAACCTACAAATGACAAGTAATTGATAACTTTTTGGAAGTAGGCTTTCATTGTTCCATCTTTGGGGAATTGCATGGGATTCCAAATATCTTCCGCTATCGCCCTGCCCTGCACGCCACGCCGCAGCATCCACCTGGCTGGACATCTGGTAGAGCAGCCGCAAGACGGAGGGCCACTTCGCTTCGGCCATACTGAAGGGTGGCAGCCAAGGTGATGTGAGGCCCAAGGCCTGCAGCTTTTTTTGGTGGGGAAGTATTCCTCTTGTTTGATGGGATTTTATAGTGATATAATGGGATTCATGGGATATGGGATATACCCTCCGGTGTTAAAACATGGTTTGCTGGACAATCCACCATTTGTGGTGGATTTTCCCATTTACAAGGGATTTCCTAGCCAGCCATGGTTGATTGCCAAACGGTATACATTGAGATGTAACAAACGAAAAACATGGTTATAAGTTATAATATGCTATAATTGGGGGTTTCATGGTAATACAAAAGGAATGTGGCCAAACAAATGGGTGAGTGGACGCATATATATAAGTATATACACATTATCAAATGTGCATTAATGTGTACTATTTGTGGGTTTGATCAAAATAAGGTACACCCAAAATGCCCGTGTTCAAGGAAGATTGATGCACAACCATAGGATCTTCGGGCCATCTTCAAACTTAGAACCAATATCGTGTCGCACAGCTCGATGGCAAGGTGCAGTGAGCATGTTCATGCCGGCCATGGCCACCTTCCAGTGCTTGTTACAAGCACTTTGCCACCACTTCAGCGTCACTTCATTTGCTTCAAGGAACCTGGCACAATGATGGCTCTTGGCCCAATGGTTGGTCGTTCGGCTTCTGAACTTGACGGATCTCCTTAACACCGCCCTGGAATTCAAAAACATGGACTCTTAAAGTTGTGCATTTCTTCAACTAACTTTATTCAACTAAAGTTCTTCTACTAGTTCAGTTCTATCTTTGAATTTACATGCGCGACTTACCACCCCTGGTTAGGTTCGTTTCATTACCATCCGGTAGTTTAACGTAGACCTGGAGTTCCAATTGTTCCATGGCAAATTCTTCAATTACCAAAGGGTCAATCCACATGTCCGATGGTTAATTTCACATGGTTGCGTGTTCACCATTATTGTTCCTTAATGTTTATTAACCATGTTCACCATTAATTGTGTTCACCATTAGGTTGAAATCATGGTGTTTATTTTCTATTGGCTAAATCTCCATTTTTGCTGGTTAGTTCACCATTGTTGTTGCTTAATTCGCCATGTTTTGGGGGGATCCACATCTTAACATGGCAAGGACCCAGGACATTTTTCAAACAGTCGCCCAGGTCACTGGGACTTGATCTGCTCCAGCAAGGGGAGAGCCACTCCTGGACTGGACATTGTAAAAGCATGGCATGTACACATACAATCAATATCTCGCATTTTCATACATATGATATACCAACATGGAATATATGTATTATGTTACATTATGTTACATTATGTTCATATTCATATACAGTATATTGGATAAATGCGGCATGTTGTAGGTTGGTGGAAGTTCCAACTCATCCTAACAAAAATGCATTGGGGCCGCATATGTTTCTGAAGAAACGTCAAGAAACCACATTCAAAACCACCAACATCATCTGCAATAAAGTCAACCAGCTGGAGGCATGCCCTGCTGGAGAAGTTTTCTTACTTCTGGTTGTCTGAAACTGGGGCCCACTGTTGTTCTTGGTTGGATCGGGGTCGTTGGATCGGATGAATCTAGATGGGTAGGATCGGCGCGGCTGGATCGGAATCTACATTGGTTGGATCGGGACGGTACAGATGGCAACCTTGCGGATACCCCGACTGTCCCAACCATCCCAACCATCCCAACCATCCCGACCGTCCCGACCGTCCCGACCATCCCCGACCATTCCGACCATCCCAACCGTCCCTGAAGAAACCCTAAAAGAAACCCTACAGAACCCCTAAAGAAACCCTAAAGAAGCTCTCATCCCGACCATCCCTACCATCCAATGTTGATCTAGGATCGTCTTTCACCCTGATTCTGCAACGCTGATCCGAACCTTTGGATGTTGATTCCGGACGCTGCTCTGTGACGCTGGTTCGACTCGATAGTTTCTGACAGGGAATTTACTCGGAGCCCACTAAGTCACGAGTGAAACAAGTCTGCTTCTCTTCTAAATTCCCTCTGGTAATTCAACCTGGCAATGGAAACCCACCATTCATGTCCACTGCAAAGTTCCCATCAACATCAGGGCCGATTAGGGATGTCCATTGCCATGTCTGACTACCAAATGGCACTGAAGTATACCCCACACAACCCCAGACTTGGGTCAAGGGAACCCTTATGGGAAAACACGCATGATTCATGGAACAAAACTTGCTTTCTGTAGCTTTCCCCAGTTGGAATAACCCAGCGACAAACATCATATCCAAGATCCAAATGGTTGTAAATTGTAAATCATTTACCGTTAAACCGTTATGAACACAAGCGAACAAATGCCACAATCCAACCCGTAAGAACACTACTTTGAAGCACCATAAATAAATCTAATTAATTATTATAAATCCCGAATTTCACATCGAGTCGTAGCTTTCCCTTCGCATAAAATCCACCGCCGAGAATCTCCACTTGGCCGCCCTGGCGCCAGCACTCAGCCCAGTGTTCAGCCCAAAGAGATACTGACGCTGCGACAGGATCGCAGCATCCAGGGTCCGCCTGGTGAATGGTGGAGTTTTCGGCTATTTCGGCCGTGTCTAAAGAAGAGGGCGACCCAAGGTCGAATCTGTTTTGAATATGTTAAAGACACGTTAAGACAATATGTTCAGTATGTTGTCATGTTGATGAATTTTCATGAGAATAGCACTGTTTTGGACAAGCCAGTGACGATGCATGACATGATGTGAATCAGGATGACACCTATAATTATATGTTGATGAAAATGGACTTCAACTGCTACATTGACACATCTATTGTTTTTGTCCTGCCGTTTGTCACATGTCAACATGTCAAAAGTCACACAGCCTCGCCGTAGCACGCCTTAGGAAGCACAGAGCCTCTGCCCAATGACTGCTGCGGGCACACGCATCCATGCAAGTGTTGTAGCTGATATGGTCCGTTCGGATGCTCCTGGTGAACCCGCTGATGTCAGAACCCTGTGCTCCTGGTGATCAAAATAACTATGGTACAGTAAATGATGTAAATGGGATGTTTATCCGAGTTCATCCCCCAAAGAAACTGGTGGACATGTTGATCCATATCTGAAAGTCATACAATTTAGTTCTAGGCTGATGTAGGGGAGAACTTTTGGTGGGTCAAATATATAGGGATATATAGGGTGTTTCTGCTCTCCTTCCCTCATAGAAACCAACTCCAGGATAGTGGCGAGGCTTTTTACGTTCATGGCCTGACATGACCCACATGGCACCCAAACACAGCCCTTGCGTGGTCTGAAAAAAACATTAAAAGTACTCCAGCCCGTTTCCAAAGAACTGGTTAATCGTCCTTATCTTATCGCATCTATCCCCATTAAAATGGCCATAGATCAGGGTTGCTCCATAGGTCCCTCAGATCCGGGGGAAAAACTGAGATCCCACCACATCCTCCACATCCTCCACTCCCCAGGGGCCTTCCCTTGAGCTGCGACAAGAGACCAAGGGCCCGTTGCCATTGCGCTGCCTTGCTGCAGGCATTGATGGCAGAGTTGAAGCTGATCCGGTCCTGGGGATGGGGTGTGTCGCTGGGACAAATCATAACACTGACATGAATGGACTATTTCCATGCATTGTCCAAGTCAGATTTGTTGAACTTCAGACATCAGAAATCAGAAGCAAACTTTTCATGCTGCCCAGACTTAGAGATGGTCATCCTACCAATTCCCCACATCTTCAATGCTTTTATTGCATAGCCATCATATGCCATCATCATCGATTATGGCATGCAGCCGGCACAAACATCGCTGCATCTCGCTTGCAGCTATTGTCTGAAGCAAGGCTCCGCCTTCCCTTCCGGTCTTCCAAGCAAAGCAATGGCTTGCTTCCAGTTTGAGCCTTGAGCACATCGGTGGATGGCTTGGTTGCATTCCTCGCCAGGCTGCAGCGATAGAGCCCTGATGTGCGGAACATGTTCCTTTTTTTGTGTGAACCTGTTCGCTTCTTGTTTCAGGAGCATGAATTTGCACAAGGGCAAATACATTTCACAATGTGAAAGTGTCACAAAGTGTCAAAGGTTTTCTGATGATGGCTGATGTTTTACATTATATAGCTGATTCTACCCTGTGATTTAGCAGCAAACATCCACTCTCCAAAAAGATCTTCAGCCTCTGAACTTGTGGCCAGTTATGCTTAGGCCTATCTCATTATGTCAGATTATGCCCCCAGTACTGTCATTATAAATTGATATAAATTGATTATACATGATTATACCATATGGTTTCTCTTTATAGATGGCTAAATCATGTGAAATCCCCCGTTTAACCGTGGTGAACTTCAACTAAATCCAGGTCCAGCCGCCAGAAGGCCGCCCACCTCCAGGGCAGGAAGATTCGTCGTCCGCATCCATGGCCACGGGTTCCAGGGATGAGTCAGTCAAGTGGGATTTCCTGGGCCTACCCTCTGGTTATGACTAACATAGCTATTGAACATGGCTATTTATAGTGGATTTACCCATTGAAAATGATGATTTTCCAATATTTTCCATAGTTATGTTAGTTTACCAGAGGGTAACTCCAAAACCATCAGAAACACGACATAAACTTGGAGGTGCCCAACATCGCGACCAGGCATGAGAATAAATCCAAAAAATGCACCTATGTATGGCACAGATTGGCATAGTACCTCCATTGGACCATGTTTGGGTTCTGAAATGGGCCATTGAAGATGCTGGAAACTGCCATGAATATCATGATGTGCTCTAACAACGGCACTGAGAATCCCCAGTGGCAGAAAAACGGATGCCGATCCAAGCATAACTCAACATCCATGATCTGCTGGGGGTTTCATTCCCAATCCTCTCCCGTGCAATTAGCCGGTCACAAAATGTCGCAAGCGCACCTTTTCTGGGTGCATTTGCAAGTGCCAAGTGCCAACAAATGGTGCACATCACAGGTAAAACGATAGCATTGCAGCATCAAAGGTGCTGGATTTTGCCAAGCACCAGCCTATTATCTAGTGGAATACCTGAATCACTGGTACTTGACTTAGTAGAACGTACGTCTCGGGCAGCTGACACAGCTCCGTGCCCCGGCCCAAGTTTTGCGAGGATGGCGTGTGAAGGAATTCATGGCAGCAATTCTTCCAAAGCTGCCGGATCACCCAATCCAGCTGGCAGTTCCAAGACCCCGAACAGGTAGTTTGTTGGGAAGTAATCCAAAAGAGAACATGGAACGCAGCATCTTTGAGGCCACTATATCACCAGCACAAGATCTGATTACAATTGATTACAGTGCATGTTTTATCCATTTTGAATGGAGAAAAGATGAGAAAACCAAGTCAAAAGCACACAAATTGGCGGCTGCAGCCATTGATTCGCACGCAGGTCATGGCCCTGCTAGTCAGCACTGAAAGTGCTGTCTTGATCCTCCACGTCCTGTCAGGAATGATGCTGATAGTTTTTTTGATGAGAATGGATAAACGTTCAAAAATAATGAACATGTATATTATCCCATGTTTCTAGGTACTTGGAGGGTCTAGGTGCTATGTTGGTATACGTTTTAAGGTGTTAGATTGTTTGCTCATGCCGTGTTTCTATCTATCTATCTGTCTATCCATCCATCCATCCATCCATCCATCTATAACAATAATAATAATAACGGTAGTAACAATAGTGATAACATTAGAAAATAATACCCAGCATAACAATATTAATAACAACAACAATAATAGTAATATGTAAAATAATATAATATTAACATAAGATTTTGACATATCGTCATTATCATTATTATTATTACTATTAATATTATTATAATTATATATATATATATTGTTACGGCGCCAGGATCACTTGGACATTGGCTTTTGGACCACTTGAACATTGGGGATCACTTGCAGCTTTTGTAGGTTCACTTGGACATGGGTTTCTGGATCACTTCAACATCTTCAACATTGGACACTTTGGAGAGATGGACACCCCTCACACCTTTATGGGTTTTATGGTTTGACACTTAGGGGAGGCGGGGACATGGGGACATGGGGACATGGGAGCATGGGGGCATGGTCCGAAACAAGAGACTGAGGGGACAAGGGGAAGACGCAGACAGGGAAGCCGACAGGGTTGTTGTTTTCCTTTTGGACCTGGGGAAATTCAATTTGAAATTCACAGTGCACAGAGCAGAGCCATGCTTTTTCCATCTGTGACGCTGTGTTCAAGCCGCGCCTATCTTACACTGCAGACTCGAAGGCCAGTTCGAGGTGTCTGTGCATGGGCGGTCGAACGGTAAGTTCCGTGGATCCTGTCTCAAAGTCGTCAAGAACGTTATGAGCCCCCCCCCACCCGCCCTGTTGAGCATAAGCGAGCATGTGCAACATTGTCAACAACAGCAACAAGTTCCGTGGACCCTGTCTTAAAGTCGTCAAAAACGTTATCAGCTCCCCCCAACCCCCCTCTGTTGAGCATAAGCCAGCATACAGCATATGCAACATGTCAAGAACGGGCGAATCAGCCACATGGACCACGTTCAAGCGAGCCAACAGCCCACGCACAAGCGAGCCAAACGCCCATGTTCAAGCGAACCCTCTCCCGTTAGTTATTGCTACAGTATGCTGCTCAATTCGTGCGTGACGTCCCTGCACAGGGTCACACGAATCGTTTCCGTATTATCACCATTTTTGCTGGATGCTGTTTTTGTGTGTTTCTATCAGTGTTGGATCCTGGAGTCCCATTGGCTATGAAAACCGCATTTCAGAGAATGAGAAAAACTAGAACTACAATGAGACCCCAAACAAACTAATGATGCGTTTTGTTTGCCATTATTCTTACATCAATTCATGATGCATCTTACCAGGAAACACCTCGGTGTGCAGTAGAATGCAGTAACACTGGGCATGAAATTTATGTTTTCAAGTGACTCCTGCAAAACCATGCAAAACCACTCCCACAAATATATTTGTGACAAAACATGTCAAATGAAATTCAATGACCCACACTGTTTCACCACGTCAACTCTCTCTCTCTCTCTCACCACGTCAACTCTTGCAGCCCTTTTCCCTTTATTTCACATGTGTGTGTGTGTAACATCATGCACAATCTACAAACAATACAATAATGGTTTATCAGTTTATCGTCTTTTTCCCCATTGTAATAACATATAACATATATATATATATATAGAATAACCATAGTTTGATTCATTTGGAGGGAAATCTGCACTTTGGATTGGAAGGTCACATGCCACCTCCAGGCCCCGTGATTGCAGGTGCCTCCTGTGCAAGTAGCTGCCAAACTTCAGGTTGCTGCAAAATTGCCGCCTCCAGCTGTGCTTCGCGCTCCACTAGCGCCTGCCGCCAGGGTCAACTTACCCTGGCTGTGAGGAGCACTAGATGCAAAGAATGGATGTTGGGATGTTCAAATGCCCCATGTCTTAACCCACCATGTACGAGTGCAACACGTTCAAGATTCAGACTCGGACCTGCCTCCACCTTTCTTTGGTGGAAACTGAAAGGTATAACTACTCTCCGCCTCTCTTCTTTCCCGCTATTCTCGCCTCAAACATCATCAGGAACATAGCCACTGCACAGATCTGGTTGTCCAGCAATCGATGTGCTTTTTCCTGGCTGCCCAGCTGGGAACAGTGGCGGTATATAAAATTATATAAATACAAGGTGGTACCCCCCAGTTATAAGTTGGTTTATAATCCCCATTAACTATAGATATAACCCCCATAAACCCTAGATATTGGACTTATAAACCAATTTAGCTAACTATGGGGCACCACCTTGTATAGTCTCAAGAAATATCAAAGTCAGGATGGTATCCACAATCGAGGCGTACCTCGATGTTCAGCCCAGCTTGGAGCTCTTTCATGATCTGAGGCACCGATGCCTCTGCCTTTCCCACCCGACAACGAGTCCGCAGCGAGTCTGAGAGGATGTATAAAAAGGGACCCCCCAAAACCCAACAAGAATGAGGCTGTAATCAAGCAAAGGCAACCCGAAAACAACAAAACATCGGGAGAAAAACGGCGCAACATGACGGCATCGATTAGAGAACCGTTGAGGAAACCAACGGTGCATCAAAGGAACCAAGAGCGGTTTGCTGGACACTAAAGCCTCTTGTAGTTCCATCATCTCTACACCTTGGTGGCGCTTCAAGGCAATTCGCAGCAGTTCCCAGAAAACGGCAGCAACAATTTAGGGCACAAATGGGTACAGTATAGTTCAGGGATATGTATCATGACCCGAACAGTCCCTCCAGGATCTCTTCCTCTCTCGCTCTCTCTATAGCCATTGTTGATCTCAGTGCCAGTTCCAGCTGAAATGAACCGTTCATTGTTTCAGGTGGAGAAAAAGGGAGAACACATATCAACATGTTCCTGAACCCCGCGTGCCTTTCTCCCTTGAAGGGAAAATCACTATACGCTATTAGGCCCTTACACCATAGCAGCATAGACTGGGTATTTTCAACATCATCCACTGTGAAGTTATGACCAATAAACGATGGCATTATTAGGTCGCTCAGTACCCTGTTCCAGAATCCAAGAATTGCCTGCAAGTACAGAAATAAACGGCAATGAAGGTTTCAAAGGGATTTCCTCCCCACCATCACCATGATGCCCATTTTTGAAGTTCGCAATCTGAGCTGAGTTGCTCCTCTCATCATAATAGTTCTGCTTCATGAAATGCATTGCCAGCTGAAAGGTTTTCCTTGGTTTTTTTCTCAACGCTAAATATTGCGCACCTGGTCTCCCTCTCGCTTGAAAATCTGAGGGCGGGGTTTCCCAGAAAGTATGGCGGACTTCAGGTACCCCCCGTAAGTAAGGACTGTGTTTTTCGTCTGAACATAAGCAACATCAAAAAACATCAGCATCGACTTCATCATGAACATGAGCCCATGGGGCACACCAAGTAACGCCTGGCGATGTCTCATGTGTCGCATCTCCTAGTACAGGGATTAAACTGGAAAGTCAACGATGACGAGGAACCTTCGTCAAATTTCAAATGTATGGGGATTTAACCAGGACGTGGTTCCAAAAACCACAGATTCAGCAATTGTTTTTTAAACCGTATGCCGGTAGTACCGCTCAAGGCGGTGGTTTCAAAAATAGCCATAGAAGAGGTGGGTTGCTGTGATGCATGGATGGCAGAGCGAACCCACTCACGGATCGACAGGCGGCTGAGGCTTTGAATCTATCTCTCTCTCTCTCTCTCTCTCCCTCTCTCTCCCTCCTCTCTCTCTCCATGGTTCTCCCTCTTTATCTATCTGTCTGCCTGTCTACCTGTCTACATGTTTATCTATCTATCTATCTATCTATTTATCTATCTATCTATCTATTAATCTAATCTAATCTAATCTAATCTAATTATCTATCTATCTATCTATCTATCTATCTATCTATCTATCTAATCTATCTAATCTATCTAATCTATCTAATCTAATCTAATCTAATCTAATCTAGATATCTATCTATCCATCTATCTATCTATCTATCTAATCTATCTAACTAATCTATCTAACTAATCTATCTAACTAATCTATCTAACTAATCTATCTAACTAATCTATCTAACTAATCTATCTATCTATCTATCTATCTATCTTTATCTATCTATCTTTATCTATCTATCTTTATCTATCTATCTTTATCTATCTATCTTTATCTATCTATCTTTATCTATCTATCTTTATCTATCTTTATCTATCTATCTTTATCTATCTATCTTTATCTATCTATCTTTATCTATCTATCTTTATCTATCTTTATCTATCTATCTATCTATCTATCTATATCTATCTATCTATCTATCTATCTATCTATCTATCTAATCTATCTATCTATCTATCTATCTATCTATCTTTATCTATCTATCTTTATCTATCTATCTTTATCTATCTATCTATCCATCTATTTATCTGCCTAACGCTTTCGATCTCTCTCTATCTATCTCTCTATCTCTCTTCATCTATCTATCTCCCTGTCTCCCTATCTATCTCTACCCCTATCTCCATCTCCATCTATCTAACTATCTATCTGGCTAGCTCTATCTACCTTTCTATCTGTGTATCTGCCTATCTTTCAATCTTCCTATCTGAGATCATCTGCCTATCTGCCTATCTATCTGTCTATTTGTCTATCTGTCTCTCTGACTACCTGTCTATCTGTCTTTCTGTCTTCGTCTAAATGTCCCTCTGACTTTCTGTCTATCTGTCTCTCTGGCTACCTGTCCATCTGTCTATCTGTCTTTTCTCCATGAAAATGAAAGTGCGAAATAGTTAAAAAATAAAAATAAGAAAAATAATGAAACCTATTTATCTATAGCTGTCCATCTGCCTATCTGTCTATTTATCGACCTCTATCTCTCACTATCTATCTAGTTCTCTATCCATTTATCTGTCTCTCTGACAGGTCTGCCCCAATCTCTGTATCTCTCTTTTTCCTCTATCTCTCTCTATCTCTCTCTATCGTTCTCTCTCTCTCTCTTTTTTTTTCTCTCTCTCTCTCTCTCTCTCTCTCTCCATCTCTCTCGCTCCCTCTCGCTCCCTCCCTCCCTCCCTCCCTCCATCCATCCATCCATCCATCCATCCATCTCTCTCTCTCTCTCTCCCTCCCTCCCTCCATCTTTCTGGCTATCTATCTCACTATCTCACTACCGCCCTGTCTCTCCCTCATCTCTATGTCAATATCGCTATTTATATCTCTATCTCTAACTCTATCTCTTTCTCTATCCATCCATCTATATACATCTATCCATCTGTCGCTTTATCTATATATCTATCCATCCATCCATCTATTTGAAAGGAAGCAATGATGCGAGACTTCCAAAAGGACGCAATTCTCCGAGACTTCCTCAAAAAATGGATGTTCACAGCTCCAAAACGAAGAAATTCTTCGAGACTTTTGAAATTAACAACATGAAAAACAAAGCAATTCTGCGAAACTTCCTTCAAAACTGGAAAGTTGAGTGCAGAGCTGGCGGCTTGGTACCAATCCCTTTTGCGATGTTTCCACTCCATCGCTGCGCCTGCCAGGAAAAAGTGAGGCCAGGTCACACGAAGTGCTGCACCTGTCATGCGAAATCATCTTAGCAAACCTGGCGGATCTGATGCTCCGTGCTCCAAATGGGGATGGGTCAATGCCTATAGATACATTTTTAGTGGGATGAACATCCATTTACCAGCTATTTTGGGGTTCACTAGGTACCAGGGTTTTGACCCATCCCCAAATTGCAACCCCTCTCAGGTAAGCAGCGTTTTGATCTCTTAGCATATCTGATGGAAATGTCCTTTGTACTGCACCTGCCAGGCGACATGCATCTTTGCAGATCCCCTTCAACCGTCCCACGCTTGCCATCGGTTTGAACACTGGCGCCAAACCCTCGAGGATTTGCTCATTTTTGGCAAGATGCCGAAGCCACCGCGCCTGCCATGCCAAACCACATCCTAACGCTCGGGACCATCAGTTTTTAATGCTTTTGACTTGCGAAGGCGCTTCGCGCCACAATAGCGTGCACTCTTTGGACAGCCCAACTTCCCAGTGTGCTCCAAACATGACATGCTTTTGCCAGTTTCACTCCGAAATGTGCTTCGCACCCAGCTGCTCCACACCCGCCGCTTTAGCGAGCCTACTTTTCGACCCTCCGGAGCCTGTTTCGAAAAATTACTTTACTTCGTGTGATCCCCACCATGACATTTATACATGTTCTTACTGGCACATCTTCTGGCATTCTATCTGACATATCTTCTGACATTCTGTTTGGCATTCTATCTGGCATATCTTCTGGCATATCTTCTGGCATATCTTCTGGCATTCTATCTGACATATCTTCTGACATTCTATTTGGCATTCTATCTGGCATATCTTCTGGCATTTCTTCTGGCATTCTATCTGGCAAATCTTCTGGCATTCTATCTGGCATATCTTCTGGCATTCTATCTGACATATCTTCTGGCATTCTATCCGGCATTCTATCTGGCATATCTTCTGGCATATATTCTGACATATCTGCTGGCATTCTATCTGGCATTCTATCTGGCATATCTTCTGGCATATATTCTGACATATCTTCTGGCATTCTATCTGGCATTCTATCTGGCATTCTATCTGGCATATCTTTTGGAATATCTTCTGGCATATCTATCTGGCATATCTTCTGGCATATTTTCTGGCATTCTACCTGGCAAATCTTCTGGCACTCTATCTGACATTTTATCTTCCTACATGAGGTCCGGCAGGGAACACTTGGCGTGGATACTCGCGGTTGAGGTCCGGCAGGGAACACTGGGCGCGGATGGTCGCGGTTGAGGTCCGGCAGGGAACACTGGGCGCGGATGGTCGCGGTTGAGGTCCGGCAGGGAACACTGGGCGCGGATGGTCGTGGTTGAGGTCCGGCAGGGAACACTGGGCGTGGATGGTCGTGGTTGAGGTCCGGCAGGGAACACTGGGCGTGGATGGTCGTGGTTGAGGTCCGGCAGAGAACACTGTGGATCGCGGGTCGCAGTTGAGCAAGGACGACGAGGACGACGAGGACGACGAGGACAACGAGGAGGACGAGGAGGAGGAGGAGAGGAGGAGGAGGAGCAGGAGGAGGAGCAGGAGGAGGAGCAGGAGGAGGAGGCAACTGACATAAAATCTAACAACCCTCACCTGGCAGGTGGGGAAAAACAGTGTTTCGCGACGTTTCTGCCTTGTCGCGCTCTTTGATCTTCTTTCTGCTGACTCTCTCTTCTCTGTCTCTTTCTCTTCTGACTTTTTCTATTCTGACTGGTTTCTCTTCTGTTTCTTTCTTTGCATTGACTGTTCCCAAAACTGTTGCTGCATCTGTCCATAAGTCGGAAGTTTGACTTCTAGGTTTCCTTCGCTAACATAGTATATGTAGGACTGCTTCCAACCATGGTTAGCGTGATGGGCAGGGGCATCTTTGTGCCAGCTCCCATGTGCAATAGTATATGTAACCCAATGTCAAACCAGCAACTGTCATTTCCAAACAAATAACAACTCTGGATTTCCAGAACGTTTGAGATCCGCCACCCCTGTCCTGCTTGAAGGTGGGAGACCTGAACAAGACCTCCACCGAGGCCCGTAAAGACCTAGGGTCTTGAAGTTTGAAGTAGCGAAGAGCGAAGAAATTGGATATATCCCCCGTAACTATGGCACACAACCACTTGCACTCGCTGATAATTTGTTAGGTAGCCATGGAGTCCATCACCATGATTTTTTTGGGTGAATCCTCGACCCAAATGGGTCATGTTCAGTGACCATGTTAGATTGCCAGGGGGTAACTTGCAAAAAGAAACCTGGTGACATTTTCCTGGCACAATTTCGGAGTTCACCTGCTGAAATTGATTGATTAAGGATTTCTCCAAAACAAATAGACAAACCACCAGAAAAAGAGTTGGGATACCTGCGTGGAACAAACTGCGACTGCAGGTTTCCAACGTCATTTTTTTTAAGATTCACCCACGAGAATTCGCCCAGTATCATGATGCAGGACATGCAAATAGGGATGTAACTACATAGACATAAACATAACGTGGATAAATCTATCCCGGTGCCTGTAGAATCCTATCCGGCAAGACCAATGACCCTACAAGGTTCACAAAAAACAACCAAGCCGCTTCTCTTGATCCGTGGTAGGGTTCAAGGTGGTGCTCACCTTGCTTGAAATCATGGGGGGAAGACCTAGAATTCAGCGCCCAAATATGCCCAAATCATGTCTGTGGGGCAGGTAGGTTTACCTACATGCACCCCCAGAGAAGAATCAGCATCGGCAACATGAAGGCAAATATAACCAACATGAGTTAAATAAAACTTGCGTGGATGGGAGTTACGGGCAAGGGCCGGGGTTCCGAAGAGTGAAGTGTCCCAAAGAATGAAACAGTGGGGACGGACAGTTTCAGCTCTTAGTCAAACTGCACCATACGGAGTCCAAACGTGCGGTTTGCGACACTATTGGATCAGTAGGAGGCAGTTTTTGACTGGCACTATTATGTTTGTTGGACTCGGGATGTCATTTGCATAGCTTTACAGACTGCAAGGAGCAGTTTTTATGACATCAATTTACAACAATTGTAAAATTTGACATATAGCCACCTCCCAACAAAACGAAAAACCTTTCAGGATGCTGTTGATGATATTGTTCATAGTGTCAAGGTTTCGTGCTTTTTTTCAAATCTATCTTGAGGTTGTTGAATTCATGCATTTTTGCAAAAACCATCAAAAACCGTCAATAAGTAGCCCAAACAATGCCCCGCTGTCAACGCATTATAGTTGCCATAATTGGTTGATATAACTATGGACTTCCTCTCCCCAACATCCCAGTATTGGTCAACTTTCCATTCTTGTTTTAAATACGAAATCCCAAAATTCTCTCATCATATTTTAAGTGAGACATTAGTTACTACAATTTATGTTCGTTTAACTTTCTGCGTGACTGTGTCAGCTACTACCGTTAGGTTCACGAAACACATAGTTGGTGTTTATTTCACTAATACTGTGGGTGGAAGAAATCCTGCACCAGTTGGTAACTAATTATTGGTAACCTGAAGCACTGTAAATAAGGGGACAATAGTGGGATAAATCATCTATAGAATAATCCAATACTGAAAGCCTTTATTATAAATAATCCAGTACTGGACAAATGGATTATTATCTACAAAATTCTACAAATGGATTATTGGCTACTTAAATCATCTATAGGATAATAAAAAAATAGGTAATAACAATTATCTATTCCAATCCTTTACTATTTACACATAATAATCCATCTATACCATCTGCTTATTTAACATAGCCATGGAAAATGGCCCATTTATAGATGGTTTGCCTATTAATAGCATGGTGATTTTCCATGGCGAACTGTTAAATAACCAGAGGCTTTTTTGGATAATCCATCTATAAATCATCTGGGACCATTGCCCTTGTTGCCCGCCGATTGCCGAGTCGCAAGGGTCAGGCATTGCCACGTCTCGGTGCAAACCTTCAGCATGCGGTTCCACAAGTCCTACGCGTTAAGCGAAAGCGGTGCTTGGGGTCCGGGGGGAATGGGCCACGGCAATAGGTTGTTGTTTAATACGCCAAAAGCACAAAAAAAACAAATCTAAACTTTCTAAACTATGTCTATGCAACTGTATCATGATGAATATATACGTATAAGTTAAGAAACATGAAATCTATCATATGGTATCATATGGTAGGTGTTGTCAGTTCATAGCTTGTTGCCATTGACACTCATTGACACACCATGTAAAAATGCAAGCACACCCAATCCAAACTATATCCAATTCTGCGGCTGGTGTATAAGTCTAGCAAAACATGTGTTTATCAAAGGTTTACAACATATTCATCATTATTTTGGTATGGTTTTACTTGTCTATCTTCTTTGGGGGTTGCTAGATGTAAGATAACAAATAAACATACGAAAACCAATTTGCCGCCAAACACTTGCACCACCTTGTAATCACAAGTTTCAACGGATAAGTCCGACATGTTAGTTATTAAATCCTCATTTTCAGAGGTTAAAAAAACAAAACAACATTACCTTCTGGTAATCTGACATAGCAGGCCATGCAAAATCACCCATGTGTAGATGAAAATGATAAAGATTGCATATTGTTCCAATGGTCAGTTTCCATGGCTATGTCAGATTAAAAACAAAACCGTAAATCAATCTTGCCCTGGTTGCATTAACATGTTTGCCTGTTAAATCCACATGTTTGTTGGGCAAATCCCCTTTTTTAAGAGAGCAGGACGCTGTTAGAGTGCACTTTTTTGATTATTGTTTTCAAAACTGTGCTCGCATGTTAAAGCTTAAGCTACAGATGAAGCTGTGTTCATGTCCACTAGAGAGTATGTATTGCGTGAAGAAGTTTCCAGGTGTTCACTCTACCTTAGATAAATGCTACTACAGCATCCCTTCAACAAAACACAATTTCTGCAGAATGTGCCAGATGACTTCAAAATATATAATTACAACATCCCCATGCCTGCCAACAAATGCAGTATTCAAAACAAACATAACATACCCTTCTGAATAAGAGTAACCTTTCTTTGGGGCAATGCAGTGTGTTTTTGCAGGGACAACATCCAAACAAAATATAAAGAAGTCCTTGAAAAATTAAGT